GACCTGATCTACAAGACTGGATTGTGTCCTGAGGCAATGTCTTGAGATATAAAAGACAGAAGTGAGCAGTGAGACAGGGGGATCTCATACCATCAAGAAAGCAGTGCCAGGAACAGAGCAGGTCCTTTGGACCGGGGTCCCTGCGCTGAGAAGCTGCTAGTCCGGGGGAACGCTGATGAGAAGGCCAAGAGAGAGAGAAAGCCTTCCCCTGGAGCTGACATCCTGAATTTGGACTTTCAGCCTACTTTACTGTAAGGAAATAAATGTCTCTTTGTTAAAGCCATCCACTTGTAGTATTTCTGTTGTAGCAGTGCTGGATGACTAAGACAACACCCATAGAAGCAGCAGTCAAGAAATCAAACGACGCATTGATTGGGGAAATCTGCTGCAAAAGACCTCTTTAAAGTGTTAAAAAGCAAAGATGTCACCTTGAAGACTAAGGTGTGCCTGACCCAAGCCTTGGTGTTTTCAGTCGCCTCATATGTGTGTTAAAGCAGGATGATGAATAGATGAATAAGGAAGACCAAAGAACTGATGCCTTTGAATTGTGGTATTGGCAAAGAATACTGAATATACCACAGACTGCCAAAAGAACAAGCAAATCTGTCTTGGAAGAAGTACAACCAGAATGCACCTTAGAAGCAAGGATGGTAAAACTGCGTCTCACGTACTTTGGACATGTTATCAGGAGGGATCAGTCCCTGGAAAGAGACATCAATGCTTGGTAAAGTAGAAGGTCGGTGAAAAAGAGGAAGACCCTCAATGAGACAGGTTGACACAGTGGCTGCAACAATGGTCTCAAACAGCAATGATTGTGAGGATGGCACAGAACTGGGCAATGTTTCGTTCTGTTGTACGTAGGGTTGCTGAGTCAGAACCAACTTGATGGCACCTAACGACAACAACAATCCCTGTAATACTTGAATTGTGTAAGAATTTGGCCTTAAAATTTCTAAATCTCTAGGTTTGTCCATTTATAAATTTGCACCTTTGTGAATCATACACCGTGTCCGCCAGGAACAGGAAGGGACCTGGAGCTTGTTTTTCTGGGCCCTGCCTGCTGCTCAGACTGGAGCCTGGGAAGGTGGCATCACCTCGACAATGCAGCCTCAGCACACAACTAAGGACAGACGAAGGCCTTTTCTATCCTTCTGTCAGGTGGGGATGGAGGCTCTGACAGGCAGGGAACCCCCAAAACTGATTCGGGGAGAAAGCAGTTCTGACTACCGTGTCCATCAGATGGTGTGGCTATGGGGCTCAGGGGTGAACTCCCACCATCTGAGTGGGTGTGACCCCTGGGTCTCAAGCCATGACCCTCGCAGGAGCCTGAGAAGGCGGTGGGTGACAAGCGGAGCGTCAGTGGAGATGAGGAGTCTGGGAGGATGCCCTTCCGGCTGAGCTGGTAGTCTCTGTGCTGGGCTTCCCAGTGCTCACACTTCTACACACCTTCTCCTGCAACTCCACCCCACCAGGCCCCGGGTCTTAACATGGGCTCCAGGGCTGGAGACACTAGTGGGGCTTGAACGTGCAAGAAGCCTCCAGAATACAAAATGATGGACTAGCATGTGTCTGGATGGATGGCTAGAGTCATGGCTCCACAGCAACCCCAGGACCCCAGCCCCTTCTGTGTACCCGTATACCCCTGAGTCCCTGTGCTGATACATGCTGCCCCCGCACCAGAAAGGGGCTCCAGCCCCACCCCCCAGCACCTCCCAGCAAGGCTTTGTCAAGAAGCTGGGGGTGGGGGAGGCTGCTGTGCCTGGAGGGCTCAACTTCCCACCTTACCTGTTCCCCCAGCCACCCCCAGGAGAGTCCTGGGGTTCCCGGGAGCAGGAGGACCGAGGCCTGGAGGGGAGGGACTGGCTGGCCACTGCCCATACTGCCTCCCAATGTCCTCACCCCTGCTAACAGCTCCACCTGTCCCCCATTTTTTAACCAGAGTAAGGGGAAGGAGCAGATGCTTCCCCAGCATCCTGTGTCCCCAGCCTTGGCTCCAGCCTCAGAATACTTGGAGAACCTGCTCACTGAGTTCTAGACATGGCTAAGGCCTTTACCGGGGCCTCTACAAATGACAAATTGAATCCATCATGAGAGCGTGAACTTCCAACACAGGGCTGCCCGTGACATGCCATGCAGGAAACCTGAGCACAGTAGGGTTGGGTGGGTGGGTGGGGCAGCCCTACCCCAACATTGCCTGGCTCCTCTGGGTACCCCCCACCTGTGGAAGTTTAGTCCCTGAAGGGTAACAGTGCAGTCTGGATCATCCCGCCTGTCTTAGTTACCTAGTGCTGCTATAACAGAAATACCACAAATGGGTAGCTTTAACAAAGAGAAATTTATTCTCTCACAGTCTAGGAGGCTATAAGTCTGAATTCAGGACACCAGCTCCAGGGGAAGGCTTTCTCCCTCTGTTGGCTCTGGAGCAAGGTCCTTGTCCTCAATCTTCCCCTGCTCTAGGAGCTTCTCAGTCCAAAGGATGCACTATTTTCCTAGCTCGTTTCTTGGTGGTATGAGGTCGTCCCTATGTCTCTCAGCTTGCTTCTCTCTTATATCTCAAAAGAGATTGGCTTAAGACACAACCTAGTCTTGTAGACTGAATCCAGCCTCATTAACATAA